AACAATTCATGCACTTACAGTCACTACCGCTCGCTTGACTCAATTATCTGTCTATGTCTGTGTAATCAGTCATCTCGCTTTATTTGCCGGGCTTATATACAAAAAAAAGAGGGTACCTAGAAAAGACTAGAGTTGCCAGAAAAAGTCAAGATCCTTCAAGAATCTCGTGACGTATTACCAGCGTCACGTGACTTCCTCTGTCGTAACAATACTATACGCAATAAAATTAAAGAAAGTTTGCAGTAATAATAAGATAACATGTAGAAAAGGAATCAATTAATTGATGAATATGACAAAGTAATTAGGGGAAGTAATGTAACTAATATTATAGTGTGGGAGGTAAAACTAATGGTGGTTGCAATATTATAGGGATTATTTATTACCTTCAGTAGACGTGATAGTTTTGAAAAGGTTGCGATATCTTGTAAAACTATGAAGTCCATAATTGGCAGCACAACAACTGAATTTCCCACAGAATTAAAATAACCTTTTGCAAAATGTTCGAGAAGAATCCTCATTTATGGAAAATTAAGGGTGCATTTATTAGCTCTGTCCTTGCAATCTTGTAATGTTGAACACATTCTGTGATTAGTAAATATTGGAACACAACTTTGAAATATTTTTATGCAGAAATGTAAAGTTTATATCTTCACAAATGTAAATGTATGTTTTATTGGAAACTTTGAGATTAATATTATATTAACATGTTAGTGGTGTGATTTCTCTAATTATGCAATAGGAACGTGAAGCCTCCTTTTGAACTCTGTCTTAGATACTGCTTATTTTATGGCTTTATGTTATGTTTTATGACTGCATTGACAACTTTCTCCTGAGTGCACCACTGGTAATACATGGCATCCTGTCTTTACCCATTTTAAGCTTTGACTGTCGTGTGCCACCAGTGGTGAACACTATGATTTTAATTAATAACAGTCAAATGATCATAATATTTAATATTATTTCTTTTTTTTTTTCAGAGTAACTTTGCTGTTTTTTAGAAGAATTATGAATATTTCACAATTTTACGGTTGTAAAAAGGGGCATGTGATAAAATAATCTCTACTGTGGATGATAATAGTTATATCCTTATTATATTACTCATAACAGTTTTTTTAATTTTTGAAAGAAGCCTCAATTAACTTGTTTGCTGCTTCACTTACTCACTATGAAAAATTTAATGCCAGTCCTTAGATGTAATTTTAAAATAAAAAATGATTTAATCATGTAAATTTGTTTTATTTCAGTTGTCATTTCCACATGGCATTCGTGCTCCACCAGTGGTACACGATGGAAGGAGTGGCTTTAATTTAGCCGTCCGTACAAAATAAATGCTTTCGTATAGGACTTCAGAGATATGAGGTGCAGTTATATCTTATGTGTGTGCTGTGTACCACGGGTGGCTCACAATGTCCAACAGAAAACATGAAAATGTACTACCAGTGGTGCACGATGTCACGAACATGTTAATGACATTGATATCAAAATCCAGGAACTGTACTATGTTATTAGTGAAAAAGATGTTTACCAGTAATGTTTGCACATTACTAATGTGCAAACCTTTACTGTAGTCTAAGGCTGAAATTAAACAAGTCAGTTCACCATATAAATTACTACTTATATCTGAAAACTTTCTCTATTTATAATCATTGTGTACCCTCTCTTAGTGTGTTCGTGTAACTTTGTTTCACCCATTTCCTCGTGTGTCAGCTTGTTATTTCTTCCACATATTTCATGGTTGATCTACTTTACTTTGATTGCATATCTGACTATCAAAGATTTTTTAGTATTTAAATTACTTCATTGGCACACTTCAAGCTATTTATCTGCTTTTAAACAAATTACTCTTCAATTCTGTCAAGTCTGATTGCTTTTTACCAATGCCTAATATATGATTTTTTTTGGTTCAGTTACCTTTGAGTTTCTGTATTATTAATCTCAGAATACTCCAATATCTACCAAACATTTTTGTTATAACGAAGGCTTTTCTTTAAGCTGATGTGGAATAATATCTGTTTGGTTGATGAAGATACTGTAAATACAGAAAAACAACAAAAATTATGTGATCTTTCTGAAAACATATAAAAAATCTGAAGGATAGGAAATTACAAGTGTCAAAAAAAAAGTATGGAACATGAACTTTCCCACTGTTTTGTCAAGTTTTGAAGTTCAGTTCCTACTATATCATATTATGTAACCTATTTTGTATCCTGACAGCTGTCTGATACTTCCTTACTCTGCATTAGTTTTTATTTAGCTGATAAATATCTGTTTTTAGATATTAAAGGTTGGGATTTGGTTTCCATGAAGCATGTCTAATTATAAACACTATTAGGTTTTTACTGTGATACTCATTTCTTTACTTCATGATTTATATTCAAAAGTGCTTAAAAACAATCTCTTGCTGCTAAAAGTTCATATATCTAATGAATTCCTCCCAGTTTACATAATTTCCTTTCTTATAATTTGATTTATAGCAGTTAGCATGAGATTATCACCTTTCTTTTTTTGGACTTAACAGTAAACCTTTTCAGGATTATTATATTGGTAGAGATAGTGGAAGCTTGTTTTAAAGTCTAGTTATGTTTAACCTTGAAATGAGATGTGTGCAATAAATTTGTTGACTGGAATAATTTTTTATAGTTCCTGAGCCTGTAGCTGGTTACTCTGCAGAATTTGTGAACAAGGTGCTTAAGACTGTGGAGAAGGGAGAGGTGGCTGAAGATCCTGAACAGGAATAACTTACTTCTCTACAAAGTTTGCATAGTTTCTAAGATGTACAAATGTATAGTTGGGTTAGATATTTTGTATGAGTTTCATTTTAGATTTAAGAGTTTAGTTTAGTTAGATCTTTTTTGGAATTTCGTACATATTATTGGACTTTTTTTTCTTTCTAATGGGAGAACTGTAAATACACCTTAACTAAACTCATTGACGTCAGTATTATAGGCTGATGTTTGGAATATATTATATTAGTTTTATTTGTGTAATAAATAGTTGCTTTCTTTTATTATTTTCATTACAGTATGTCTTGTGACATGGTCATATTGACATATCTGAACAATTACTGAAGATCTATCACATATAATACTTTTATTGAAGTTTTGTAAAAAAAAGACTAATAGTAGAAATTAATTTGCAGTATTTTAAAGTGTATGACATACAACCCTGTCAGTTGTTAGAACTACAGCCATCAGTTACTTGTATGCTAAGAAAGTAACTGTGTGCTAATTTTAATTGTTCTTTTTCTCTTTGTTCTGATACAAACACCACTATCTTTTAAAAATATTAAAATACATTATTTTGTATAAGTAATAAACTAGCATTTTGTTACCACGTGACAGCAACTTAATTAACCTAGAGTAACGAACTGACATTATGTTGTGTTAAGAATATTTTAAACTAACTTGTTTCGAATGTTGAAATGGGTTTGGATCAAACGATGTCCACTGAATGGAAAGTGGCCAGCTTCTAGTCCTTCTGTCTGTTAGAAGCTAGACGTAAACCGGATATGGAAAACATAATACATCATTAGAAATAAAGAAAATAAAACTAGTTGTAACACAGTAAGAGTATAAATTTAGATTTTTTTCCTAATATGATTTTCAATTTGAATCGGTATTTTTATTCTTCTGGGTGCTTAAGTAATGTTTGACAAGACAGTTCAAGCACTGTGACATAGACAATGATCAAATAAAAACATGAACTAATATTTAGTAATCTTACAAATAGATGTGTTTTAGTAGAGTTTCAGTAGAGACGGTCTTCTCTGGTAAAGGCCAACATCAAAAGTAAAATGAAAGTTTGTGTATTGAGACTTCCAGAGCTATACTTCTGTTTGTTTCGGGATAACTAAGCTTGGGACATTTTCAACTGGACCTAAAGTTTGTTTTTAAAGTCATTCTAACTACCAAAAAATTAATTATGTGCTGATATGGAAGTCTTTCTATTCTCGTAGTTTAGTTTTATAAATAAGGGATAATTTTGAAAATGAGAAATACTCCTTTTAAAAAGCTATAAATATCAGTCTATTTAAACTTTTGTATAGAATATTGCTAACTGTTGCAGAAAAGTTCAAGAAATTATGCTAATTTATTGGAAAAGTTGAGAAATTAAGATTACTATATATATATATATGTATATGGTTTTATTGATCATATTTTAGGTTGAACAATCAAAAAATAATTCAAATTTTTTTATTTTTTTTAATTATTCAAATGCTTTTATGTGACTTGTTAATGCTGTTTTGCCAATAGTGAATATAAAGGAACTTGTCCTACTGTCTTTGCCAGTAAGTGAATGTGACAAGTTCTTTCACTACTGTCTTTGCCAGTAAATGAATATGAAGAACTTGTCATTACTGTCTTTGCCAGTAAGTGAATGTGAAAGAACTTGTCATTACTGTCTTTGCCAGAAAACGAAGAAAACTTTTCACTAGAAGAACACTACTGAAAACCTAACATTATAGTTTTCTGTGATAGCTGCGTATTACTGCTGTTGATGTAGTTTCTAAGTTTGTCATTCCAACTGATGAGGTTTGAAAACTGTGCTGATGGCTGCAGCCAAGTTTGAATGGTACCCAACTACTTTGTGTTTCACAGCTGGCATCTGCTGATTTTTTTTTCACCTTCCTTTTCCTTGTCAATGCAATGTAAGAACTCGTTTGTTTCAAATCTTTGGTGTTTTTTATTCCTCATGGACAAAATACTTTCAGCTCTGTAATGTAAAAGTTATAATGGATTAAAATATTAGTTCAAATAATGTTCTATAACACATTTGTTGTCTAAATTTTAATAGAACATATGATGTTTTTGAAAGGCAATTTCCTGCTAATTAAGTAGGGGCAATTTCTTCCCACCCCATTTTCTTTTGAAGTTTGCAATTTGAAGTATGACTGTATCCCTAAATGTATAATAGGAGTTTTGGGGAAAGAAAAGTTAGTTTATAATTGTAGTGAAAAAGTTAATTTGTATGTTTCGCTGTAGGAAGTATAATTGTATTGAAGGTCAATAAAGTTTGGAGATGGCTTGAATGAATAATGAAAAGCTATTACAAGTGTACAATGTTTCTTTCACTACCTATTCAAGCTGTCTTCAAACTTTGTTTTCTTAAAAGTAGGTTTCTTATAATCAAATATTGAAAGTCAGTTTAGTCACTCGTACAATAATTAAAGTGGTTGTTTCTTAAGAACTTTACTTTAATAGACTTATTATAACCAATTTAGTTAAGATATAGAAAACCTGAAGTATAGAAGCAACATTAATTTTACATGACTGTCCTACTTTAAGTTGTAAAAAGTTTGTGTTCATGGCCATATTGTAAAATGATTAATATGGTAGCTGTACTTACAGGAAACTTTTCTAACTCTAGTAATTTGAAGTTTTGGCTTATCATGAGAAGTTTAGCTATAAGAAATTTAGTTTGTAAACTTGGATATAATGATTTTTTAGTTGTGTGGTTTTTTTTAAACCAAGAAAATGCCCATCATTGTACAATGTTTAACTTGGCAATCCTGTCATACAAAATTTAGTTAAACAGTTTATGAGAAGTTAATTATTTGAAGATCTTATTTTAAATAGTTTAGATTAATGATCCTTGATGATAGTTTGGTTACTATATAATAATTAGCTTAGTGGTTTGATGGCCCCAGACTAATGTGGTTTGATGGCACCAGACTAATATTCTGAAGTTCTTCACGTGATAGTTCCATTGTTACTTTTTTATTGTATGCAGTTATTTTACTATAAATGAAAAGCTTAATTTTGAAATATTGTTTTTATAAATCTATAGCATGCTATTATAACAATGTATTGAGTAGTCATACTGTTAACCCTCTCACTATGGACAGGTCAGAGTGCACGTCATAACTTTTTAATGTGTTGCTTTTAAACTTTATTTAAACTACTTTATTATCATCGTATATGAATAAACTTGATATTAAAAGGTAATTAATAAATTAAATTTTAATACAAGTTTTAAGATGTAACATAGAAAAGTTGGTATATATTTTATTTCTTTTTGAAGAATAATTTATGGGTTAGATTTTAATTAAATCAACAACCTGTCAATGTTGATTGGAAACCTGTAATTTTATCTGAGATTTGATTTTAAACTCTGTCCATTGTGCTTTTTTACTTTAGTGTTTTTCTTTATGCCACAGCATCTTATTACACGAGCTACCATTGTTAGAACTATCAGTTCCTCTTCTGATGTTTACATTTGTCATTGCAAAGTAAATTTTTAGTTATATTAGCCCAAATAATATTAAAATATCCTCCTCCCCACCACCAATGTTTCGTTACCTTAGTTAACTTTTAGTTGGTTCTAATTAATACAGTCTCGGTGACCAGTAGCCTTAATTTAGATTATTCTGCAAGTTCTCTATTGATGATTTTTTTGATATTATAAGAATGCAAAAACCTGTGATAGTTCAC